CGCCGGAGGGGCCGGAGCCCGCGGGGGCCGCGGCGGCGGCCGCGGGCCCGTCCGTGTGGGCTCCGGCCCCTCCGGCGGCGGGACCCGGCGCCGGCCCGGCCCCCCCGCGGCCGCCGCCGCGGGGCCGGACGAGGACGAGGACGACGAGGCGGAGGACGAGGAGCCCGGGGGGCGGCGGCGGGGCCGGCAGCAGATCATCCACAGCGGCCACTTCATGGTGTCGTCCCCGCACCGCGAGCACCCTCCCAAGAAGGGCTACGACTTCGACACGGTCAACAAGCAGACGTGCCAGACGTACAGCTTTGGCAAGACCAGCTCGTGCCACCTGTCCATCGACGCGTCCCTCACCAAGCTGTTCGAGTGCATGACCCTGGCCTACAGGTGGGCGCCGCCGACCCCGCTGTCCCCTCCCCCTCCCGGGCCCCTGCTCCCGACTTGGCGCCCACCTCCCAGCGGGGGGGCTCTGGGGCGTGACCCCTCCTCCCCACTGCCCCCCAGCGCGCACGCCTCGGTCCCCTGGGCTGCCAGCCTGCTCCCCTGCCCACCTGCATACCCCTGCTGGTGGCCGGAGAGGATGGCCCACTCGCACAGCACCTACCCCACCCATCTCTGTGGCGGGAGGGGGACGACGTCCACTCATCCACCTTCTCCATCCTTCCCCTCCCCCATACACACACCAGGTGGGGAAGGACCTGCTTCCTGCACACCCATCTTTTCACCTGTCAGCCCCCGGGGATGACACCCTAAAAAAAGCATACCTCTCTTTGTAGTTCATTGTCCTAGCTGGGGGCTGACCACCCCGTGCACACATACAGAAGTGCATTGGTCCTAGCCCATTCCCCCAAATTGGAGAATCCTAGAGGTAAGGATGATCATTCCTTTCCCTTTGGAGACCTACATGTACCTTCCTCTCAGCTGGGGTGATAATAATAAATAGCGTTTATGTAGCATTTTAAAGTTCACAGTTTCTGTGTATGATCTCATTTGATCTCACAACTAACCTGTGAGGTAAGTGATATAATCCCCATTACAGATGAGGAAACTTGAAGCTCAGAGATATCGAATGGCTAGTAAAGGTCTGAGGCAGGATTTGAACTCCGGGCTTCCAATCTTCAACACTTGTATTTGCCATGTCACCCAGCTGTCTTGGCACTTAGGAGATGACCCTCACCCAGGGAAGGAAAGCAAGGTTTCTTCCTCCTATGGCAGTCAACCACAGGAGAGATTGCCGACTTGTTTCTCCCTTCCCCCCCCATATCTCCCTCTCCCCTGGAGATCTACCTGCTTCATCCAGCTGGGGAACATGGGAGGTGATTCCCCCAAACACAGAGTGTTCCTCCCTGCTTCTGTTCATATACAGGGTGTCCACACTCTCCACATTTGAGTGAACATTCTCTTCCCAACCATTTGTCCACTCCTTCCCACCTAGATACCTACCCCTACCCCATGAGAGACTTGGTGGTGCCCTCTGCCCACTCACTCATCTATCCATTCCTGTCTCCTTTATGGAGACCTCTTTTTCTCTTCCAGTCATCCCATACAGAGTTCCACTCCCCCTCCCATATGGAAGGTGGCCAGCACGATGGGGACTTAACTCTCCTCACCTCCAGCTGGGAACCTGAGAGCGGACATACATTTAGGGAGCACCTCTTCCTACTCACACATCCACTGGAAATGCTTCTTTCTATGGGGAGCTGGGGAGAGATGAAACTGAAAGGATATATCCTCACAATAGGAAGTCAGGGATCTGGGCTACCCATTCTAGTTGGAAACTCTCCCTGCTACCCTCCCCGAGCAAGGAAACCCAAGAAATAATACCCTTCACCCCACACTAGAATTGCCTGTCTCCCCTCTCTATCCCCTGGGAGTTCTCCCTTCTTTCCTGTGGAGCCAGGGAAACCAGGATTTACCTCCTTCCTGCTTTTGAGGGACCTGGGAGAGGGCCCTTCCACAGCCAGTCTGGGAGTACCCTCAGCCCTCTATCTAGCCATGGAGATCTGGGAGACTAGGAGTGGGAGGAGACCTTGGGAGATATCGCCATACTCCTCCTCCCTCAGTCCACCCTGGGGAGCTGCCCCTTCACTTCCCCATGGGCAGTAGGAAGGTTCTTCCCTCCTCCCCCAAGGATCTCTGCAGCTTGGCTTCTGTATCATGTGGCACCTTGCCAGGCTGACAAACAGAAAAGGAGAACCAGGGAGTTGGAGAGCCAGAAGGAACTTGGACAAGTCTCCCTCCAATCTCCCTGCTAAGGGCACTAGAACTGAAAGAGACCTTTAAAGATAATTGGGTTTCTAATCCTCATGTCACAAAGGAGGAAGTTGAGCGTCCAGGAGGTTGTGACTTGCTCATGGCAGAATAAGTAGCAGAGAGCAGGGTTTCCTCCTCCTGTGTAAAATGAGGATGCACATGTTTCCAGGGGGTGGTTGTGAGGAAGGGGGTTATCATTGTCACGCATAAAGTTTAGAGTTAGAATGAACCTTTTTTTTTTTTTGTACTGTACCCGTTGGACAGTCTGACGAAGTCAGGACCTCTTCTCGTGTTTTTAAATGTATAAAATGAAATACAAGAAATTATAAAGGAAACAAATTATATTGAAAAAAATGTCAAAATGTTTTCAAAATGAATTCATAGACCTTATGTTAAAGAACCCCTGATCTAGTTCTTTTCCCTTAATTTTACATTGGAGTTGACTGAATAAGTGTAACCTCTCTGGGTCTCAGTTTCTTCTTTTGTAAAATGAAGGGGTTAGATCAGGCTAATTTATTAAGTATTCTGTGTAGTGTGTAGGTGCTGGGAATACTAAGGCAAAAACCAAATACCCCCTGCCCTGAAGGATTTTACAATCTAGGGGCTGAAGTAATGTATACACAAATAAAAGTAGATATAAAGTATTTTGAGGAGTTAGGGGAAGTCTCAGAAAAGGCCTCTTACAGAAGATAGCTTTGAACCTGAGCCTTGAAGGAAAGTAGACAGGAAAAGGTCAAGGTTAGAAGGTGTATGTTCCAGGAGATGGAATGTTGTGTCTGAGGGGGGTGTCTACCAAGTCTAGGAAGACAGGCTGGGCCACAGTGTGAAGGGCTTTAAATGCCAACAACAGGGGTTTGTGTTTTCTAATAGATGCCACAGGGAGCCATTGGCATTTTCTTGAGGAGAGCAGTGACATGGTCAGACCCATCCTTTAGGAAGATGACAATTGTGCTGAAGATCTTAGTAATACTTCATACTCCTTTAGCACTCTGCTTACTGAGGGTTTTCCTTGCAGTACTCTTTGAGGTAGGTGGTATAGGTGTGATTGTCTCCATTCTGTAGAGGAGCTGTGGGCCTGTAGTCAAATGGCCTCCTCAGAGGACTGAAGTGGTTTTCCCCTGGTCACACAGCTAGCCGATAACTCTCCAAGCCAGGCCTTTTGGCTCCAAGTTCATTGCTCTTTGCCATTTAGTTGTGTGTGACAAGTAACTGGTGCTCCCTGGGCCTCCTTTGTCATGCTGCCTCTGATCTCAGAAACCAGCCTCCATCGCTTTTGTCCAGAGTAGCAAACTGAGGGGGAGGGAGGCTTGCTCAAGGGCACGTTGTTCTTCTCACTTGCCATGTCCAAGCCTTGGGTAAGTAGCGGCATGAGGGCCAGACTCCAGCTCCTCAGATTCCTTGGCCATAGGCTGTTCCCCACTGGGATCTTTTCTTCTGCTCCACTCATTTTGGAGACACCCAAGGTATTTGGGGACATCTTAGCCCAGCAGGTGGGTTAAGATGTTTAAAGTTGGGAGGGAAAGAGATTGGGCTTCCAGGTTATCACAGCTGGCAGGACCTGTGGGTGACTTATTTGATGTAAAATTTACATCGTCGATGTAGGTGGATAGTGATAGAACGCCACTGACTTCTTACAACCTGGGCTTTCCTACCCTCCTCCAACCCATCTTTGCTACAGAGAAGTCCTAGGATGTTAGAGCTGGAAGAGGTCTTAAGGATCAGAGGATTATTTAGAGGTCATCCGGAGAAGGAAATTGAGACCCAGAGAAGGGAAGGAGGGCACTTGTCCAAGGGGAAATATTGAGCTGCTGACAATTAGAGACTAGGGCTCAGGTCTCCTTACTTAGGGTCCAGTCTTCTGTTCCATTCTACTTCTGGCAGAGGGCTTATTGGTTTTAGACAAGAAGCCCCACCTCTTCCCTACAGCAGTTACTGGGAATCATAGATGTGCTTACAAGGAACTGTGGGTATATGCTTCACGCTAAGGCTGAGCTTTGCGTGTTGGGAGCCACCAGCTGCTGGAGGGGCAGCCTGTCCCTTCTTGGAGTAGTGGGAATCTTCGAGCCTGGAGGATGTTCCACCAGCTTTTAAACACTGGAAGGTGGAGCCTACCGGAGCCCAGCACCTTCCTCGCAGCCTGATTTCAATGCCAGCAGAATCCCTAAGCCACCTCAAGACAGATGCTGGGGCTGGGAAGGGATGGAAGGATTAAAGATCTTTCCATTCCATCACTGTGCATGCATTAAGGATTTGTACCAACTAGCTTCTTCACTTTCTTGGAAAGAGCTGCTGGTGCTGAGCCCTTCACATTTGGGATTAGGATCACTGGTGAGCTGGGCTGGCAGGGGCTGTCTCAGAGCTGGTCTGCAAGCAGCATAAGAACAATCAGCTCAGTCACCTGGACTGGGAGCCTTTCTCCAGGAATAGTGTATGCTGTAGAGATGTATGCTATAGAGAGAAGTTGGAACTTCTTTCTCCTCCTTGGTAAGCTGAGTTGCTGTTTTCTGGACAGTTAATTAGCTACAGGTTTAGCCTTAATATATTAAGTCAGACATAGTTAAAATAGTAGGCACTTGGCTGTGGTTGGCTTTGTTCTACCTTCTGGAAGAAGTAACTGGCTGTGTGTTCCTCTGAGTTCCTGTAACAGCTCCATTTCCTTTAAAAAGAATTTCCTTGGTGACTTATTTGTCACATGTCTGCCCCTTAACCCTGACTTCCATCTTCTAAGTCACAGTACAGGCAGTTCCTTCCTTGGTGCTCTGGGTTTTCTTATTTGCATCTGCACAGAGCTGGGCAGGGGCTTTCTGTTTCAAAAGTAAAATAGCAGCATTGCTGTGGCCTTTCCAGCTTGTATGACAAGTTCCAGAAGGGAAGACCGAAGGAATACAGCCCTTCTGGGTTGCGGTGTACCCTTCATCATTTGGGGTAGCCTTTTTCTTAAGTTACATGTGAAAAGTAGCAGTTTAGGGAAGCTTAATTCCGTTATTAGAGACGAGCTCTCATTATTAGCTATCATTGGATATTAGAAATATTATGGGAAATTAGCTATATCCATTATTAGAGTAAACACTCTTCTCTATCTTTAAAATGAAAGCATTGGATCAGAGCCTTAACTTTCCCTGCCAGATTTATAC